TGGTAAGGCAGCAAAACCCCAAAGAGTTGTTATGATAGGGCCTGGAACCAACATGCAGCTGAAGAAGAGTGGCTAGGCTGACCCTCCCCACAGGAAACCCTCAGGGTTAGAAACACCAGTGGGCCAGGACAGACCGGAAGCTGTCCAGCACACTGCCTGTGTGAGACTGAGGAAAGGAAATGCTGAAGGGAGACCACAGGTAGGCAAGATCCCAGCCAAGCGACGACAACCGCCAACCCATGTCTTGTAAAACACAGACGCCTGCTGACTGAAAGAACACACCTTTATTGGTTGAGGGAAGATACAGAGGGAAGGTACACTTGATAATGACACTCGGAGAAGCCCCAGTCTCAGGATCATTTGTTCCGGGGCCAGTTCCCTCCAAGACGACTGTACTGGGCATCATCACGATCTCGGAGAGGCTGGAATGAGAAGCATGACACCAAGTCAGCATCTGAGGTCTTCTCAGCACCCACGCCTGACTTCTCCAGACATCCAAGGATGAGCTACTGCCCTCCCCACCACCCAGGACTCTCCACACATCTCACACCCATCCTGTCAGGTCCCTTAGTTCTCACTCCCTTCTCCCATTCTTGACTCCTCCCTCAGGGCTTACCTGATACAGCTGCTCATTCTTCAACAGGGCTTGAATGTCAGAAACTAGAAGCAAGGAAAGAGAGTCATTGGGAGCTGGGGAAGATGAGACAATGAGACCTTTGAACACTGCGGGGGCGGAGGGGGGGGGCCGCGGACGACACTGAAGCCAGTCACACCCTCTCTCAGTCTCAGAAGTCTGCATGAGCACCATGGGCATACATGTTCTTTCAGCACCCTATGGTACCAGTCCCTAGGGACTAGATGAAGCCAACCCTACTACTGTTACCATCTTTCAACCAGTTCATGAACTCATACAGAGAGAGAGAGAGAGAGAGAGAGAGAGAGAGAGAGAGAGAGAGAGAGAGAGAACTTCCACTAACCCCCAGAGAGCCTTCCAGTCTCGTGTCCTGCAAAGCAGTAGACTCCCAAAGCCAGGAGCAGAGTGGCAATGAGGTCAGTGATGATGATGCCAGCCACGGTGGCTGAGTCCAGCTCCACACAGTTCTGGCACACTGTGGGGGAGAAGAGAAAGAAAGGTTTCGAGGTCAGGGAACCGTCGCCGATCCTAGAAAGACCCTAGGTTTTCCATTCCAAGACTCACGCTTCAGTGAGATGGTGGTGACCTTGCTACTTCCATCCCCACCCTCATCCCGAGGAATTGCTGAAGAGAAACATGACATAACTTCAGCTTGATGGGGCTTTACCTGAGGAAAGGACTCAGCCCCTCTCCCAGCCAGCCCCTGCCTCCTGTCTGTCTTAGTCAAACCTTCTCCCATTCTAAAGCACTCCCTGACAAATCTGGTCCATACCACCGTGAGTGCCCTTGGTTTGTTTAGAGAATAAATCGGTTCACCACAGTCTGCTTTTAGACAGAATGTTCTCACATCCAGAGGGCCCATGATCTCATCCCAGTGGGTCCAGGAGGCACATACTTCGGTAATATACTTGTAAGGTAGACAGCTCCTCTGTCCCATTGCACTTATATATCCCTCGTGGGTCCAGGATGCCTTTTCCCAAGTTCAGTGTTGTATTTTTTGCAAGCCACGCTTCCGCCGATCCCTCTAGACGCATGATGCTGGTATTGCAACTCACAAATACTTGATCCTCATATTCGGTCACTGATACCTTGAAGGAGCTCCCTAAGAGGGAAAACACCATAATCAGAGGCAGCTCTGCTGTGTAGCCAACCCATCATTCAACTGAAGTGAATACTTATGGACCGACCACGTGTGTAGTAAGGGATACGATTCCTAGTGAAAGGAAGGGGCAGAAGAGACTAGAGGAAGACTTCAGGAAGTTATCCAGAAACTGCAGAGCCATGAAGGACATGAGGCTGTAGTCCAAGCAGAAGACAGATTGTCCAAATTGGCTTTACCTGCCAGCTTAACTCAGCCTAGAGCCACCTGAAAAGAGAGTCTCTAATTGATGGATCGCCTACATCAAATTGGCCCTGTGCACATGTCTAGTATAAGGGATTGTCCCGATTGCCTTACAGATGCAGGAGAGTCCAGACCACTGTGGGTGGCACCATTCCCTGGGCAGGCGGGTCTGGGCTGTATAAGAAAGCTAGCTGTACAAGCAAAGGAGCCAGAAAGAGCGATCTTCAATGGTTTCAACTTTGAGCTCCTGCTTGAGTTTCTGCCCTGACTTCCCTTAAAGATAGACTGACCTGGACTTGTAACCCAAGTAAATCCTTCCCTCCCTTAAGTTGCTTTTGGTCAAAGAATTTTATTACATTAGAATTCAAACTAGGACACGGATCCTGAGTGACTTGGGGCAAAAGAGAAAACCATGAAGCTGGAGTGATCCAAGAACCTTCCTGAAAATTAAGTTCAGACCACCGATTAGACTACTGGGGTTCCCCAAGAGACCTGGGAATGCAGAAGGATGTTCTTAGCCTGGAGACTGTGCCTTTTATACTAAAGACTTCTAATTCCTCTTCCTAGCCAATAACCCTCTCACTTCAACTTATCCTTTTCCTCCTCTGCTATCTCCACTCCAGTATCTGCCAGGGTACTGAGAGGCTCAGTATGAAAGCCTTTTCCAAGGCCACTAACCTCTGGGACAGAGAGGAGCTGTGAACTACCAGCCCAGTGATCCAGATTTCCCAGGGCAAAGCCCATGTAAGAACATTCCCTGGGAACATAGCTCAATGGCAGAGGCATGTGCAATACCCTAGATTCGATCTCCAGTACTGCCAATATATACTCTGGCACAGTGACTTGAATCTGTAATCTCAACACTTGGAAAGCTCAGAAAGGAGAAAGCCTGAGACAGCAAGGCCAGCCTGGGCTACAGAGTAAATGAGATCCCATGAAAAACAAAAACAAAAACAAAAACAAAAAACAGTAGTTCTATTAGTGTGTTAGTGGTACTGGGACACAGACATAGGCACTGTCATCTGCAGCAGCCAGAGGAGTTCCTTTAATCTTGGAGGATATTTAACTCAAGTAAAACCCAAATCTTCTCCTCCTTCAACAGAAAATTTTTAGGATGAACCAGTAATGAAGCAATTTGGGGTTTATCTTAATATAATTTCCTTATATTAATATAAGGGCATTTTAATATAGATCTTAAACATGCATGTTAAGAGAAAGAGAGGCACCCCAGAAGGTTTCCCAGAGAGAGACGTGTCTTTGCAACAGACGTGTACACCGTTGGGGGGGGGGTTGAAGTTCTTATCCACAGAGTTGCTAAGAAACCTAAACGAGTTCACAGAGTGGTTGGTACGGGCATCTGACAGGATTACAACTGATTAAATAAAAGTCTAGATTTGGGGATGCCAGAAGGCACCTCACTATAAACAAAGTAAGCAGTCTTATTTGTGAGGGTCCTAGAAAATGTTCCAGAGAGAAATGAGGCCCTACCCCCAAAGTCATATGCACACAGGCATTAAGCCTGTCTTGTTGCTTACAAACACCCGTATAGGAAAAGACTAGCACATGGGCAACTTTCACAGCAAGTGTTAAGTGTGCCGAAATTCTCAAGTCTCAGCTCGAGAGGCTTCAACTAGCTTCTGGGGGTGAGAGGGTCCTTTCCCTTCTGTGTTCTGTAATTTTTACTGTCTTTCTAGCCTACCTTAGGGCCGCACTTGCTTAAGGAGAAATGGCCACACACACACACACACACACACACACACACACACACACACACACACACACACGCACAAAATAATAATAATAATATCAAATCCGTTTCTGAGGCTCCATATAGGGGGTGTAGGAGCCAGAGATGCACACAGTGGGCCTTCCCAGACAGCCGGAGAATATCTCTCAGCCCACAGGGTACTGCAATGTCTACTGCCAGCAGCAGCAGCAAAGATGGAGTCTGTGTGTCTCCAATGTGAACACAGAAGCGTCCTCCAGAAAGCTCCAAAATGGCTGCCCCTCCTGTCTCTGAAGCAGGAGTGTATACAAGCACGCTAGAGAAGACAGGGGTGCGTACAGTTCTTCTCCTCTTGTAGTCCTATCTTCTTTGGAGTTATTTCCAGCAGAAACCTCCGGTGGCCAGGACAGCTTTTAGAGTGGCCATTTGGCCGAGTTTTCCGGAGACTGCTGAGTTCCTGGGATGTGAGCTCTCCGGGGTTATGTGGGGTTAGTTTGGTTTGTACTCTTGCACTCCTAGAGATCTACCCCTGAGCTATATACCCAGCCCAATTTTCTGTTTTAAAAGTGAACAAACAGAGAAGAGCTGCTACCTACTAGCTTTAATAGAATATATCCCCATCTGTCCTTCCCACTCAGCTAAAGCTAACTTTCCCCAAGATTACTCCTGAATTCTGAACTGTGGCTCTGGGTGGTTACATAACCGGCTGATGACCAAGAATCCTACGCCAGGAGGCCGTTTGCCTTAGAAGATGCAATGGGTGTAACTTCTTCCATCACCAACCTTAGGCCCAGGCACATGCAGTGTTGGACCATTTCCTACAGACGTCTGGTCCAAGGCCGTGGATACCATTAAGACCAATGTGAGCCTTGACTGGAGGAGGTCAAAGCCAAAGGCTTGTTTCCTATACCCCAACCCCGCCCTTCTGACCCTCCCCTGCCTGATGATGAACTGGAGCCAGCACTGAGATGTACTTCCCAGTGAACTTCTTCCAGTGATGATGTCCGTCTCAGGTCCCTTCCTCCACACCGCTGAAGAGAGAGGCCTCACTTACCTTGAGGGAAGAAAGCGGCCAATATCAGACCAGCCAGAATCCCGCTGTGTTCCATCTTCCAGAGGAATTCATCCAACAAATAGAGGCAAGCCACAGAACAATCGGCCAGGGTGGCACTCCCCTCCGCCAATGGACTCATGGGTATTTCAGAAAAAGGTGGGGGAGGAGCCAGAAGAAATCTGCCTCTCTGCCTTTGATGGTGGGAGACTCTCAAGGCAAGAGTCGGTTAGAGATGGGGTAAGAAGGAACAGGTGCAAACCGCTCTTTCTGGGGCAGAGCTTGGGAGTAAAGGCAGAAGGCAGAGGAGAGAATATGAAGGAGGTTCATTCTGGCTTCTATGAGGTGAAAGGAGATTGAGAATAGCTTTTCCTGGGTCACTGGTAACAAATGAAGAAAACTTCAGGCTTCCTATTGGCAGTACGACTACATTTACTTACAAACAAGACAGGGTCACCTCTTCAAATCCATTGAGAGAAGCTATGGGCCCCACTACACAGGCCACATTAACGGTTCCTCCCATTTGTTTCTGGTCAGTTTCAGGACCCTTCACAGGGCAGTCGGGGCACTATATCAAGCTGCTTCTAGCCAGTTGGACTTCAGAAACCCCCCAAGTCAGCCATCTGAATCCTAGATCCAGCGTGTAGTACCCATGGCCCCAAGCATGGAGTATTTCAGAGCTTGTCTCCCTTGGAATCACTATAAGGACTTGGAGAGGGGTGTTTGCATGGTGCCTCCACATCAAGTCTTCTCAGTATGAGATTCTTCTTGACAATATAATCCACTCACTTGTATAACTGAGCCTTCCCAGCAGACAATGGACTTTCTCTACCACAGGCTGTGGGGATCTGAAACTTTCCACACTGCCAGTTAGAAGGTCATCTGCCTGGGGACAAACTATATTTTGTGCCTAGTGTCACACAGGAAGTCTGTATATTTCTGTTACCCGTTGAGTGACTGAATGAGACAATGGCCTGAGAGCCTGGAAATAGCCCAGGGTTGTGTGCTGAGAAATATGCTAGCTGTCCTGTTGGGATGGGCCTACCTATTTTCAGGTAGGTACCCCTTTGATGTTCTCAAAAGAACAGGGACAAAATCGCTCAATGAAGGTCTACACTAAGATGCTTTTCCATTCTGCACTCCAGCCCTAGCCACCTAGAAGTTCTACCTAAATCCTTGAGTTCTGGGGTCAAGTGACAAACAAGTCTAGTCATAGTAACAACTACAGACAGTCTCCAACCCATTATGCAAAGAGGTTCTAAGGAGAAGGGGGTTTCCAAATGGGAGTCTAGACCCCTCACTCTCACACCTGACAAATGCAAGCCTCAGCAGCAGCAGCAGCAACAACAACAACAACAGAAGATATGCCTGCACTGAAGCATCTCCGCTGAGGTCCCTGCTGCCCACACTTTAAGCAGAGGGTGGGGACACTGGTTTTTGCCTCTGCTCAGAGCCCCAGCTCAAAGGATGCTGGGCGGAGCCAGGCTAGCTGTTGCACAGGCTGGCTGGCTGGCTGCTAAGGGACCTCCACAGCTCTGCTAGAGAAGGAAAGAGACTGACATGGAACAGGTGAAGGGTCTGACTGGCCTCGTCCTGGTGATCTTTCTTCAAGGTAAGAGTTTACTCGAGGGTCTGACAGCCGGGGGGAGGCTCATGAGAAGAGGCCATGACCAGGAAGGCAGGGTTTATTGGAGTCCTAATTAACCTTGAGCCAACTTCATCTGTCATCTCAGAATTCAAAGAAGGAGAGGCAAAAATGAGGCCCCCAGCTGTCCTCTGCTGGAGAGAAGCACGGGGACCAGAGGGCTGAACTGGCTAGAGAGAGGACGGCACTGCCGCCATCTTAGGCTTGAATGCAGTTCAGAAGGACCGTGCAGCCGAGACGGGGTAGTGACTCAGTAAGGTGCTTACCATGCAAGCATGGGAATCTGAATTCAACCCCCAGAACTCACTAAAAGTGAGGGTGTGGTAGCACGCTCTGGGAAGGCAGAGACTGATGGATCCCTGGGGCTTTCTAGCAGGCCAGCCAGCCTTGACAAATCACCACCTTCAGATCAATTAGACAGACAGACAGACAGACAGACAGACAGACACACACACACACACACACACACACACACACACACACACACAGCCTTGATAAGGAAATTGGGAGAAAAGGGCATATTCCCTGGACCTACGGAACATTTGTCTACAAAGCTATTTAACTAGTCAACAGGCATGGCAAGGTCCAGACATGTGAGACTCCAGAGAATAAAAAGATGAATAAAAACCTTCTGTTCTCAAGAGTTCAGAGGGTCATTAGAGAGATCGCTTTTACCGAAGACACACTAAATACAAGGTGCAGCATGGAGACACAGCATGGGGACACCTGTGTGAAATATCCGATAGGAAGTAGGTGAACTAGGCTGACACCTGGGCACCCCTGGGGGAAGCTAAAGTCACCAACATTATCTTTTTATTTGTTTGTGTGATTGTTTTGCGTTTGAGTGTGAGGGTGCGTGCATGCCGTCACACATATATGGCAGTCAGAGGACAACCCGGAGGAGCTGGTTCTCCCTCTCTACTATGTAGAATCAAACTCAGGTCACCAGGCTCAGCTGCAAGCACTTTGTTCCTCCCTCCTTTCCTTTCTAACAGGGTCCTACTATGTAGCCCAGGCTGGCCCTTCAACTCATAGACATTCCTCTTGCCTCAGCCTCCTGAGTGCTGGTGTTACAGGCGTAAGCCGCCACACCCAGCTAAAGGCCTGAAAATTCTTGAAACTACAAAACCTTTTTGTGATGTGTCAAAAACAAAGAACTGAAGATGGAGCTGTAAGGAACCAAGAGAGTATGAAATATTTGCTGGATGTAGTGGCATCTAAACTCAGTACTCTGGAGGTAGAGGCAGGAAAATCAGGAGTTCCAGGGCAACCTGGGCTATACAGCAAATGTTGAACATAATCCACTACTATAAGAATATATTTAAAATTTTAATTTGTGGAATTTGATGAAATGAAGATCATGGCTGATTAGAACAGTTTCAGTAGAGTGGTTTGAGTGGCTGCCAGACCAGTTTAAAAACAAAACAAAAAAAAAAGGTGGAGGCGGTGATAAAGAGTAACAAAGGTGGAACTGTGCTGGGGAGGGATTTGAGTGAGAGGCAGAAGAGATGGCGCACGCCTTTAATCCCAGCACTCGGGAGGCAGAGGCTGGCGGATCTCTGTGAGTTTGAGGCCAGCCTGGTCTACAGAGTGACTTCTAGGATAGCCAGGGCTACACAAAGAAACCCCATCTTGAGAGAGGAAAAAAAAAGAATTAAAAGATGGGCCAACATGCGGTTTAGCTAAAGGAGAAGGCGATGCGCATAATGAAGGTCTAGAGTAGATATCGGAAAGACAGAGCTGAGGGCAGAGTCCAGGGCACACAGGAAGGCAACAGTACAGACGAGAGGAGCAGGAAGCAGGTGCGGGGCTCTCAAGAGGCGGGCTCAGACAGGAAGCAGGACACAGCAGCACTGCGGCTCTCCACACAGGGAGGGAGGCAGAGTCACTGTGGTGACTCTACGTAGACCACAGCAGACTGGGAGCCGTGGACAAGATGGCAAGAGTGGAGAAGCCTCCCTGAGAGAAAATGAAGGAAGCCACAGACAACACGGGCTAAAAGACAATACTGAGAGCCCGAGGGAGGCTTCTGGAAGGAATACCAGGTTAAGCAACAGAAAAGCTAAGCCCTGAGTCCAGCTCAGCCACCAGGAAGTATGAACACTTGAACACCACTGCCCTCTGAACTCGGTTCTCACACCAGTCAGCTGGATATTTGGCTACAGGGTCTCTTGAGTCTCAAGAGACCACACTTAGATATGCAAATGTCAACAATGTCACCATTGTCACTGCCACCTCCTTTCCTATTGACTCTGAGTAGCATGGAGAGTCTTCTTGCTCTCCTATGATACAGCCAGGTGATTAAAGATCAGGGCCAGTAAAAATATTTTTAGGGGCCATAGAGATGGCTCAGCATTTAAGAGCACGCTTACTGCTCTTGTAGAGGACCAGGGTTCGAGTCCCAGCACCCACAAGGTGGCTCACAACTGTCTGTAGCTCCAGTTCCAGGAGACTGGGACATTCTCTTCTGGCTTCCACCAGCACCAGGCATGCATGCAGTACACATGTACACACCAAGCAAAACACTCATACACATAAAGTAAATCTTTAGAATAATAATATATTCAACTGTTGTGTCCATTTACCCCATTCACTGCCATAACCATTCATCTGAAAATTAGGCTCCTCCCATGTTCTAGGCACTGTGCTGGTGTCATTCATAAACAGTATCAGCCTGCAGGCGTTGTAAGGCAGTTGATACTTCCAGCTACTTCTGTTAAATTTGGACTAATGACTAGCTTCCCCATCACTAACTCTACATCTAGCTCCACCTCTTCCAAATCTGTATCTTTAATAAGCTGTTTATTTTCCTATCCAAAATGCCTTTCCCTATCCAGTGAGCTTTTCCTTGTTCTTCAATATAGGCCAAATGCCATTTCCTCTACTAAGCTTTTTTCTTGAGCAGAATCAATTATTTCTCTTTTCCTCTCCCCTCCTCTTCTTTCCACTGCTCTGTTTTTTTTTCTCTTTTCTCTCTCTCTCTCTCTCTCTCTCTCATTTTTTTTAAGACAGGGTATCACTATGGATCATTGCGTCCTGGAACTCAATATGTAGACTTTCAGAAATCTGTACACCTTGCCTCCCAAGTGTTGGGATTAAAGATGTGCACCATCACACCCCTCTCTGTGTCATATTTTATGAGTTTTATTAATTTTTTTTTTGTTTTTTTGAGACAGGATTTCTCTACGTAGCCTTGGCTATTCTGGAACTCACTCTGTAGACTAGGTTGGTCTCACAGAAATCCACCTGCCTCTACCTCCCAAGTGCTGGGATTAAAGGTGTGGGCCACCACCACGTGGCTGAGTTTTATTAAATTCTTAAGACTGCCATCCCAGGACATCCCATTGACAGTCTACTTTCTGATGGTCCAGTCTTAGTTATGTCTTACTATCTGTAGTAAGGTCCATGAAACTGCCACCATAGTAAAAAGGCACATCACTCCATTCCACATGGGGTAAGGGACAGCCATATTGGAATTGCTCCCATGATGCCTCACCTTCAGATGGCTTAGTTTCAGCTGCATACCTTGCTACCCAAAGCAAGAGCCATGAAATTATTCCTCCCAAGACCTTTGGTTCTGCCATGCCCATGTTTGAGCACCAATTTTGTATGCTAACTTTTTCCTGGAGAGACATGAACATCTATTCACTTCAGGTAGGACACTGATGCAGATCAAAATAATAATTCTACCAAAGTCCAGCTTAGTGAATTACTTTAGTTGGCTTACTTATAGAGAAAGGGTAAGGGGTTAAGTGCAGGATTGTGGGTAGCCTCAAAACAGCTACATTGCTACAAAGCTCCACCCCATTACGGATAACAAACTTATGGAAACTGCATCGTGGAGTCCTCTATTATCTTTCATACACATTTGTAGAAGCACTGGGGTTATCAACAGCTTCAAAACCCTCATTCTCTAGAAAGTAAGATTTGACCAGCCCCATCTCAAATCATCTCCTTAGCATAAAGTCAGGATAGCCAAGAGTCTACCATGAACAACAAAGGCACACTTATCATTCAAGAAATCCCAAAGATTTAGAAACTCCCACCCAGAGGGTCTAGAAAGATGGCTCAGTGGTTAAGAGCACGCTGTTCTTGCAGAGGACCAGAGTTTGGTTCCCAACATCTACACTAGGCAGCTCACAACTGCCCATCACTCCAGCTCCAGATATCTGATGCCTCTGGCCTCCAGAAGCAGCTGAACTCTCATGCACATACGGACTTGTTCTGATGTTCATACTCAGATACACACAACTAAAAATAAGATACATATTAGAGAAAGAAAAAAAGTCCGACCCAGAAGGGTAGAGCAAAGACCAAACACAGTAATGTTTAATTCATTTTGGTGATTTAGGCTACAACCAGGAAAGAAACACAGATACAGCCCTTGCCGTTGACTAGTATCTCTCTTGATCTTGACCTCAAGTAACCATTCGAATACCTTGGCACGTCAGAACAAGCCCATGCCCAACTGATTCTTTATCTTTCTTTTGTCTTTCCAGGTACGGTGGTCCAGCCCAAACAAGGTAAGAGAAATGGTTTCTCTCTATTCTCAAATTCTGAGAAACTCCGTAGAAGTGTGGCTTCCTACAACAGTAGTCTCAGGGGTTGAGGAGATAGATCAGCAATCAAGAGGACTTCCAGAGAACCTAAGTCCACTTTCTAGCAACCACATGGGATGGCTCACAGTTGTCTGTAACTCCAGCTCTAGGACACCCAACACCCTCTTATAACATCTGTGAGTACCTGTACATACATGACATATACTCAAACACACACATGCATACACACACACACACACACACACACACACACACACTCATTTTTTAAAAACCAGTAGTCTCATAATTTAGAAAAGGAAGTTTTGAACAGATGAGGTGGTAAGAATCAGAGAGCTGACATTTCCATTATCAACCAAAGCAGTGTTCTGCGGGAACCCATTCTGGGCAGTTTCCCTAGACCTGAGCAATGAATTGTCTGGTTCTTGCAGTAGAAACAAGATCCTAGTAACTAAGCATGTCTTGAAATATGACTGAATCAGCAGCATTAGCATTATTGAGGAGCATGTTAGTAACAGATCTCACCTCCCCAGAACTACTAAAGAAGACCTGAAATTCTAACATGATCCACATGTGATTTGTATGCACTGTAACAAGGTAGATAGAGTGTTGGAATGGTCTTCCGGTACAATTACAAAGACCCTTCACAGAACCATGACTTTTTCCTTTCCAGAAAACCAAAACCATTTGGTAAAAGTGGATGACAATCGAGGGGATGACTCTGTATTTCTGACATGTGGCTTGAAAGACAAGACCATCACGTGGCTTAAAGATGGGCACGCAATAAGTTCGAATGTAACTAAACACACGTGGAATCTAGGAAGTAGTGCCAAAGACCCCCGGGGCATGTATTGGTGTCAAGGACCAACGGGCAAGTCAAAGCCACTCCAAGTGTATTACAGAAGTATGTAACTCCTTCACAATGTCTGTTGGGAATTCAGCAGTACTTACTGTTCTGGTGGGTTTACTGTCTAGGACAAGGTGTGAATGGATGCTAAGCAGTGATTTATGGTGATAATAATAGCTGGTTCTCTTTGTCTGGGGTTACTGCTCTTTAAATCGACACTTCCCATGGCTTCCTGAGAAAGCACAGCCCTGTACAACCTGCTTAACCTTTGGGTGGACTTCACGGATAAAGCAGTTCAGCAAATAAATCAGTTGGGAGGAGGGAACCTCGGATGGTGTGCAGTGGAGAGGAGAACAGGGTGGTTGAGAATGGAGACCAGGTCTTCCTTCTTCTTCACCTAGTTCCTGAGTGTAGGACTGTTTAGATTTCCCTGGCACTTCTCAGAGAGGAACACTGAGAAGCAACAGTTCTTGGGGCAAGGATCCTCCATTGCCATACCACACATAAAGGGAGGAGCCTGCTGCCCAGGGCAGAGGCATTGGTGCTGGTGGGCTGGAGAAAGGAAACATGCAAGAATGCCTTATGTCCTGAAAGAGATCCTGTCCCTCCCTTTGTCTTGTTCCCCACAGTGTGTGAGAACTGCATTGAGCTAAATATAGGCACCATATCCGGTTTTATCTTCGCCGAAATCATCAGCATTTTCTTCCTTGCTGTTGGTGTATACTTCATTGCTGGGCAGGATGGAGTTCGACAGTCAAGAGGTAAAAGAAACCAGATGTGGTGGTGCATGCTTGTAATCCTAGGTACTTAGGAGGCTGAGGCCAGAGGGTCGTGAGTTCAAGGCCTGCCAGGGCAACAGAGCAATACCCTGTCTTAAAATAAAATTTGTAAAGGGTTAGGGGATGGGAGATAAACCTCAGTTAGTAGAGTGCTGACCTAGTTTGCACAATGCCTAAGGTTCAACCCCTAGAATACACAGACCAGATGTGGTAGCGTGTGCCTATAATCCCACTCAGAGATGGAGGCTAGAGAATTTTCATTTTCAGCTACATAGAGAGTTTGAGGCCAGGCTGGTCTACATAAGACCCTGTCTCAAAATGAAGAGGGAGCAGTTGGAGATATGGTTCAGTTAGTAGAGCACCTGCTTAGCTTCTTCAAACTCTGAATTATTCCGTCTCTATCACTGAATAAAACTCGGTGTGGTGACACAAGCCTGTAATCCCAGTATTTAGGAGTTAGAGATGGGAGGATCCAAAGGTCAAGGTCATACAAGGCTACATAGTGAGTTCAAGGCCAGTCTAGGCTACATGAGACCCTGTCTCAAAACAAACAAAACACATAAATAAATAATGGAGGGGTTGGGGATTTAGCTTAGTGGGAGAGCGCTTGCCTAGCAAGCACAAGGCCCTGAGTTTGATCCTCAGCTTCAAAATAAATAAATAAATAAATAAATAAATAAATAAATAAATAAATAAATAAATAAATAAATAAATAATCGAGGGGTGTAAATCAGTGTAAAACTCTTATGCAGCATGTGTGAAGTCCTGAGATCATTCCTATGTTCTGGAAGAAAAAAAGAAGTAAAAGAGCCAGGCGGTGGTGGTGCGCACCTTTAATTCCAGAGCTCAGGAGTCAGAGGCAGGTGGATCTCTGTAAGTTTGAGGCCAGCCTGGTCTATAAAGTGAGTTCCAGGACAGCCAGTGCTGCTATACAGAGAAATTCTGTCTCACCAGGGAGGGGAAAAGAAGTAAAAGAGTGTCCTGAGTGTAGAGATGGGACCAACTAAGACCCTTGGCTTCCCTCTTATCAAATAGGCCCAGCGGGGAGACTGAGTTGGTACATATTGCTAATGTGTGTAATTGGTGACCCTGTATCTCTGTGGGGCAGGGAAGAAAGACATTTCTTATTATCCCAGCATATTTGACCAGCCTAAGATTTGGCCTCTTTTTTCTTCCTTCCTTCCTTCCTTCCTTCCTTCCTTCCTTCCTTCCTTCCTTCCTTCCTTCCTTCCTTTCTCCCTTTCTTTCTTCTGTTGTTGTTTTATTAAGGCAGGGTTTTGTAAGGTAGCTCTGGCTGGAACTCATTATGTAGTTCAGGTTAGCTCAAATCCCTGTAGTTCCTCACAAGGAGTGAGATTACAGGCACGAGCTACCATGCTTGATCTCTCTGTGTTTTAATACTTTATTGAAGACAAGCATAATGGCACATGCCTTTAATGCCAGCACTCCAGAGGCAGAGGCAGGTGAATTTCTCTAAGTTTAATCCTGGTGTCTATATATCGAGCTCCAGGCTAGCTAAGGGTTACATAGTGAGATACTGTCACACACACACACACACACACACACACACACACACACACATCACATCACAGAATTAATTACTGAAGCAAAGTGTAGTGGCTCACATCTGCAATCCCAGCATGAAAGAAGCTGAGATAGGGGGATCACCTCAAGTTTGAGGTTAGCCTGGTCTACATAGAGAGCTCTAGGCCAGCCAGAGCTACATTGTGAAATCCTGTCCTGAAGAAAGAAAGAAGAAAGGAAAAAAAACATTCTTTAAAAAAAAAAAAGTCTTATGTAACTGTACTTGTGCCTCTGGTCCGCTTGCTTCTGCCTCCCAAGTGTTGGAATCACGGCATATGCTGCAACACCTGGTACATGCAGTGTTGGAGATCA